ACAATAAAAAGTTAAAATAATAATAAAGAAAAAGAAACTGAAAAGTTGCTACAGAATGGGAAAACATATTTATAAATTGTCTTTCTGCTAAGAGACTTGTACCCCAAATATTTAAAGAATGCTTGCAATTCAAAAATGTAAAGACAAATAATCCATTTTAAAAGGGTAATCATAATTCAAACATATAATATCAGTTTTCTTCTTCTTCTAATCATCTTAACTAAACTTGGTTTTGAATTTCAAAAAATGGATAATGTCAAGTTTTGCAACATTCTGTGAGAAATCTTTATCTCTGAGCTGAGTCAGCTTGTTGCTTAATTTAGGGGTAAAGCAAAGAGAAGCAGTGACCCATAAGTCTGAAATGGCCCTATTCAGTCTCCCTGGTGTATATTCAAGGTTCCAAAGACATTGAGCTACTGCCCAAGGCAGAAGTTATTATTATAGCTTGGACATACATAAAAGAATAAATTGAGCAAACCAAACCAAGACCTACACTCCCCCCCCCCCCCCCCCCCAAGGACTCAGGACTTGGGTACCATCTCAGCATAGCCTGGGCAGCACTCACCTGTCAGAATGACCAAGACCATGGGGCTGGTGCAGGGTCAGGTTGAGCCAAACATCCCCTTCAAGTGGCTGGATGTGGGAGGTCTGGGGTCCTGGGGGGAGGGTCTAGGACTACTCAAAGAATTTAGGCAGGCTACTTAGCAACATAGAAGGAGGTGTCTCAAGTACTTTAACCACCAGTCCAGAAGGAGCTCTGGTAGCGTAGTTATAAATTGGGTGGCGAACCTCAGGGTCAGCAGTTTGAAACTACCAGCTGTTCCGTGGGAGAAAGATGAGGCTTTCTGCTTCCATAAAGATTTACAGCCTCGGAAACCCTGTACAGGGTCGCTATTGAGTCGGCACTAACTCCACGGCACTTAACAACAACAGCTGATGGCTGTCATGTGTTTTGTGTGTGTGTGTGTTTTGGGTTTATGCTTTATACTAAGTGGGCTAGGGTTGGGGTTAGTGTTATGCTTAAGGCAATTGTTTTGTTTAGGGTACAATTTAGAGTAGGGCCTAGGGTTAGGTTTTGAGTTTGATTTACTGATTTTCTAACAATAGTTTATTATGTTTTCGGTGAAGGTTTTATACAGTGGTTTAGATTCCCGTTTAACAATTTCTACACAAGTTATTGAGTGGTATTGGTTACATTTTTCACAATGTGGTAACATTCTCATTTTTCTGTTGTGGTTGTCCATTTCCATTCATCTAATTTCCCTACCTTTATATTCTCATCTGTGTTTTAAAGTAATTGTTTTGGTCTCATATTGGTTGGTTGGTTGGTTATGCGCCATGGAGTAGGTTCCATCTCAGAGTGACCCCGTATAAGGTTTCCGAGGCTGTAAATCTTTATGGTAGCAGAAAGCCTCCTCTTACTCCTGTGGAACAGCTGGTAGTTTCCAACTGCTGACCTTGAGGTTAGCAGCCCGACTCGTAACCACTATGCAACCAGAGCTCCTCTGGGTCTCATTTAGGTGATTTAAAAAAAGGAGCACAGTGCCCTTTATAATGAATAGATGATATTCATTCTTTTATAGCCTCTTTGCTATTTATCTATAAGGTGACTTCAGAGGTTAAATTTGTTCAAAGTTTGAAGTATATCTTTGGGTAATAATCTTAGCGAGTCATGGAGTTCTCAGTCAGTCTAATGGGCCTGTGTTTATTTATGAATGTGAGCTTTTGTTCCACATTTTTCTCCTATTCTATCAGGGCCCATCTATCATGGTCTTATTTAGAACAAACTATAGTGGTAGCTAGGCACCATCTAGTTCTTCTGGTCTCAGGGTAGATGAGGCCCTGGTTCATGTAGACTTTATGTCCTGTAGACTAGTGTTTTCTTTGAGTCTTTGATTTGTGGTGTTGCTTTGAAGAGAAAGTAAAGAGGACAAGACTAGCTTCCTGGCCATTCCCTAAACTTCTTGATATCCCCCAAACACTCTGTCTATTCCAGATGGTTTACAGAATCAAAACTGATGTACAGTCTGAAATGACGCTCTGAAAAGGGCACGTGGCACTTCCAAGGAATTCTTGTCCAAAGTAGTTCTTAGGTTCTTAATCTATGCAGGCCCTGGGTAATTTTTTGTGTGTGGGGGAGGGTACTGCTAAACCAGGTTCAAGGAGTTGGGATCAGTGCAGGGCACCCAAGGGGTTCACAATGACAGAAACTTTTGGAGGGCCTGCCCAGTGCTCCAGATTCATTAATGAATATTTCCAACTACCCATAGAGATAATGTGCTCACCATGCCACAATGTTTATTAAGCATCGACAGTATATAAAGGACACCATTCTGAGTGCTGCGTATATAGCAGTAAACAAAACCAATTCCCAGTCTTCCTTCTATTGGGGCAATAAATAAATAAATAAGATAAATCAAGTTAAGATACAAAACAACAGTAACAAACAAAAACCCAAACACGTTGCCACCAAGTTGATTCTAACTCATTGCACTCTATAGAACAGACTTGTTGTTGTTAAGTCCCGCGGAGTAAGTTCCGACTCATAGCGACCCTGTACAGGGTTTCTGTGGCTGTAAATCTTTACGGGAGCAGAAAGCCTCATCTTTCTCCCGCGGAACAGCTAGTAGTTTCGAACTGCTGTCCTTGAGGTTCATAGCCCGATTCATAACCACTACGCTACCAGAGCTCCATAGAGCTGCCCTATTGGGCTTCCAAGACCATAATCTTTATAGACGCAGACTGCCACATCTCTCTACTTCAGGGTGGCTGGTGGGTTCAAACTGCTGACCTTTCAGTTAGTAACAAAATACTTAACCACTGCTCCACCACGGTTCCTAAGTTAGGATGTTGTAGTTGCTAAGTGTCTTCGAGTCGGTTCTGGCTCATAGTGACATGTACAGTGTTTCTGAGGAGTGACTGGTGGGTTTGAATCCCTGACCTTGTGGTTAGCAGTCTAGTGCTTATCCTACCACGCCACACAGGACTCCAAGTTGGAATAAGAGGTGTGACTAAAGCGTGTTAAGGGGCTGGAGAATGGTGGGGGTGAAGTATTACAGGGAGACCTCCCTGAAGAAGTGACATTTGAGGAAGACCTGTTGGAGGTTAGGACGAGCCAAGGAAGTGGGTACCAGGCAGAAGGGGTTGCACACGCAAAGGCCCCGAAACAGGACTAATGTTGGCCTGTGCAAAGTGCAGGCAGACTGTGCCAATGGAGTTGTAGAAGAGATTGAGACAGAAGCGCGGATTTGAGACCAGTTCTTGCAGGCTCCTGGAGACCCAGGGATGCTGAGTGAGACAGGAAGTCAGGTGACACAAGCTGTTTTGCACATGGCTTGAGAGATGAAACTCTTGACAAGACTGCCTGCCTTGCCTCCCCTCCTGGATTTCCTGTAGGAGGCTGCGGATGGCCAACCTGGAAGAGCTCAGGCTGCCCACCAGCTTTGACTTTCTCAGGTGACCTGCTCCAGAGGGAAAGGATATCACCAAGGCAATTATCTTATCAGATTCTGGTAACTCACAGTTTCCCCTGGAGACACACCCTAAGGTCAAAGGACTCTACCATTCCTCCAGCCAAGGTCTCAGCCTAGGGGGTGTGCAGACCTAAAACCGGGTGCCAAGCTCAAACCTGGACCCTTGGGCACATCCCTTTTCCTGTTCTGCACCTCAGTTTCCCTGCCTGGGCAGGACTGGGTGACTGAAAGCTATGTTGGCTGCGGCTGAATGTGTGCAGTGCCTCTGACACCCTCGCTGAACCTCTCTAAGCCTCAGTTTCACCGTCTGCACAATGGGAATGATAGTGCTGCCCTCCCAAGGGTTTACTGCAAGGGCCCACGAGGCCCAACACGTGCTGCACCTAGAACACACTTGAAGCTGCAATTGTAAAATTTGTAGTTCTCATTGTTGTTGTTGTTAAGTGCCATTGAGTTGATTCTGACACATAGCGACCCTATATAGGGTTTCCAAGGAGCAGCTGGTGAGCTTGAACCACCAACCTTGCAGTTCAAACGACTTTGCAGTATGAAGCATTAGCCCACAGCGCCACACCGGGACTCCCTGGATTTCTCATAGGTGGTACCATATAAGAGCCAGACTCTGGGGTTGAACATGGGCAAACAATTGTCTCCCTGATACTTACTTGGTCATTGTGACCTTAGGCAAGGTCTTAACTTCTCGCTGCCTTGGCTTCCTCATCTGTACAATAGGGGTAACAAGATAACATAACTTTTACAGTGCTGCTGTGAGGCGCTAAGGAAACTATTTGAGTAAAGCACACCGTGCAGATCCCAGAACACAGGAATACTCAGTAAACATCAGCCATCTGAGGGACTGTTGTGAGCATCCACCTCCTCCAGGCCATCGGACACATACTACACTTGGGAGTGGACACTCTGAGTCCCAAGCTTATCACATCCCAGCTTGGGGACCATGGGCAAGTGACTTAACCCTTCTATACCTCAGTTTCCCTATTTGTAAAGGAAGGATAAGAATTGTTCCCATCTTAAAGGGTTGTTGTGTGACTATTGCTGTTGAGGACTGTCGAGTTGGTTCTGGCCCACAGCGACCCTGTATCGGGTTTCCAAGGAGCAGCTGGTGAGCTTGAGCCACCGACCTTGTGGATCAAACCCACTTTGCAGTCCAGTGCATTAACCCCCAGCACCACACCAGGACTCTGTGTTGTGTGGCTAAGGAAGTTAATTCATGCACTGTGTGAGCATGGTGAGCACACATGAGCGCCATCTGCTGTTCTGGTTATGGACGTATCCAGTGGCTCACTGAGCTCAGCAGCAGGAGGAAGAGAGCTCAGCGGAGTGTGGGCAGGTTGGGCCAGTGCAGCGGGGAATACTTGAGCTGCCTAGACTTGAAGGTCACCCTAAGAGACCAGTTATCAGCTGTAATCAGACTGGCTCTGCTCCGCCCCATTCACCCCCGGGTATATCAGGGCTTGTCCATACCCCAGGCTCTGCCTAGGCAAAGGAGACCAGGCACACCAGGCCACAATGGGAAAGGCAGTGAGTGGGGCCCAGGGGGAGGAATTGGAGGTTGGAAGCTGGGGACAGGGATTCCAGTGGAATCTGATGTCTCTCCTGTTACCTACCCCTTCTCCCCAGGAGAATTATGAACTGTACTCGGTGGAACTGGGTCCCGGCCCTGGTGGGGACATGACAGCCAAGATGAACAAGAAGCCAGGTGGTGGTGGAGGCAAGAAGAAAGAGAAACTGGAGAACATGAAGAAGGAAATGGAGATTGTGAGCCCGGGGCTGGGGCAGAGGGCTGAGTTGGGACTGGGCAAGGGCAGGCATGGGGTTGGTGAGACCCACAGAGGGAGCTCCTATCACCCTTCATACAGAATGACCACCAGCTATCAGTGGCAGAACTGGAACAGAAGTACCGGACCAGTGCGACCAAGGTGAGCTGGGGGTAGGTGAAAGGAAAAGAAGGGAGAGAGGGAGAGATGCATACAACCATACAGAGAGGTTTTTATGTAAGAAAGATGAAAACTAGGGAGAGTACCATCTTGTTAAGTACCATCAAGTTGGTAGGTTTCCAAGGAGCGGCTAGTGGGTTCGAACTGCCGACCTTGTGATTGTAGAAAGGCATAGATGGAAACACAGTCAGTGCTTATAGAGAGATGCAGAGAGGGATGAGGAAGAAAAAGCGTTATAGACATAGATGAGAAAGAAACAGAGACAGAGGTGGAACAAGATAGGCAATGAGGAGACAAACAGAGAGATACACTGGGACAGAGAGATGACAGAAAAAGAGAGAGAGAGGAAGATGAGAGGAAAGAGACAGAGAGACAGACAAAGGAGAGAAGGCAGAAGGGGAAGGTGCTGAGATGAAGTAAGAAATGAAGAGGAGAGAGCCAGAAAGGGAATGAGGGAAAAGGAGACAGAGACAGAGGAGTGACCCCCTCCCCATCCCCTGAAGGACCTTTGTGAGAGGATTGCCCTTTTAGCACCTCCCACAATCCCTGCCCTCTGTCCCAGGGTCTGTCTGCAAGCCTGGCAGCTGAGATACTGATGCGAGATGGACCCAATGCACTAAGGCCGCCACGGGGAACCCCAGAGTATGTCAAGTTTGCTCGGCAACTGGCAGGTGGTCTTCAATGCCTTATGTGGGTGGCTGCTGCCATCTGCCTCATTGCCTTTGGCATCCAGGCCAGTGAGGGTGACCTAACCACCGATGACAATGTGAGTGGCAGATTCTGGGGAGTAGATGTCAAGTCACAGGGGCTTGGGGGACAAGAGGACAGTAAGCATGGGACTCAGGATAAGGGAGATATAGAGTAAGAATATAATGACATGAAGGTGAAGTTCCAAGATATAGGGTCATGGGGATAGAGGACATTGGGGTGGGGGACAGAGGACATCGGGGTATGGGACAGATCCAAGGAAACATAGGTCACAGGGAATACAGGGGACCTCGAGAATGTGTCTCATATGCTAAGGACATAAATACATGGAACCAATCAAAGATACTCTGAAATGGGGGCATGAGATATGAGGTCATGGAGAGACACAAAAACCTAGGAACTTGGGAGATACAAGACATTAAACATGGAAATGAAGAGACATAGCGGTTGCAGAGATGCAGGACAAGGGGACACTGGATATATGACAGGACAGGTGACATGGAGAACTAGGCAGACTTTGTGACATTGGACAGGGGCCTGTAAAGTCACAGGACACAGGACACAGGGCAGAGGTTGGGGATACAAGGAGATATTGTACATAGAGACTTGGGATTTGGAACATGAGGACACTGGTGGTGAAGGACACCGTATATGGAGCAGAAGAGCCACAGCACACAAACACACATGAACGGAGACATAGGACACAGGAGCTGTTGGGCATAGGAAGCACAGAGAATAAATGGTACAAGATTATGGAAAACACAGAACATGAAATTAAGGGCGTAGGGAATGCAGAATTTGCAGGATTGTAGGAGAGTGGACACGGACATTAAAGACACAGAAAAAGGAAATACCTACAACTAAAGTTCATGGTGACATGGGGCACATGTCACAGGGCCTAGGGACATGAAACATGGGAGATTTAGGATTCAGGGGCCAGAGGAGATGGGATATGGGGACACAGGGACAGAACACCAGGCAGTTGATATGTGGGATATGAAAAACATGGACAAGGGGGGACAGAGGTCACAGAGAAAAACACATGAAACCTTCCAGGAGAGTGTCTGGGGAAAACCCTGGGGGTGACCAGTGGATACTGGGTGACCATGTGCATGAACTCAGTTCCCTCCTCTGCTCCTCCCAGCTCTACCTGGCACTGGCCCTCATTGCTGTAGTGGTGGTCACTGGCTGTTTTGGTTACTATCAGGAGTTTAAGAGCACCAACATTATTGCCAGCTTCAAGAACCTTGTACCCCAGGTGGGTCCAAACCAGCCCCCTAGCATCTCTCTGTTGGCTCCAATATACCAATCTGTCCTTCATCCATCTCTTCCTGTAAACTCTCAGTTCTTCCTATGATTCCACCTCTTCCCATTTTTTCCATCTCTCCACATTCCCATTATACCATACTTAGCAAAGTCCGCTCCCATCCCTCTCAATTCTGACACCCTTGACCCCCTGCAGCAAGCAACTGTGATCCGAGATGGGGACAAGTTCCAGATCAATGCAGACCAGCTTGTGGTAGGAGACCTGGTGGAGATGAAAGGTGGGGATCGAGTGCCAGCCGACATCCGCATCCTGGCAGCCCAGGGTTGCAAGGTGGACAACTCCTCACTGACTGGAGAGTCTGAGCCTCAGACCCGCTCACCTGAGTGTACCCACGAAAGCCCCTTGGAGACCCGCAACATCGCCTTCTTCTCTACCATGTGTCTTGAGGGTTTGTGAGGCCCCTGCCTGCTTGCCCAGCTGACCACACTACTGTTACACTTCCCATCACTGACAAGTTGAATCACACTGGCCCCTCTCCTACTACGCTCTCCCGCTTTTCCACTTCACACTACTGCCAGCTCCTCAGGCACACGGTCTCTGCTTCCGAGCACTACTACCTTTTTCCCAGGTCACATTGCGTCTTAAAGCCTTCCCGGACTGCCCCTTCCTTCAGTTCACACTGCTGCTGCCCACCCCACTCTGAGTCCCCCTCTCGGCCCCACTGCAGGCACAGCCCAGGGTCTGGTGGTGAGCACGGGGGACCGCACCATTATCGGACGCATTGCATCCCTGGCATCAGGAGTGGAGAATGAAAAGACCCCTATTGCTATTGAGATTGAACACTTTGTGGACATCATCGCAGGCCTGGCCATCCTCTTTGGTGCCACGTTTTTTGTGGTGGCCATGTGCATTGGCTACACCTTCCTTCGAGCCATGGTCTTCTTCATGGCCATTGTAGTCGCCTATGTGCCTGAAGGGTTGCTGGCCACTGTTACGGTGAGTTGGGGGAGGCAGAAGAGGTGTGTGCAGGATCTTGAGAGGCCTGTCCATTCTGTTTGGTCATTCAGTCAGGCTCCACTCATCCATCTGTCTATGTGTCCATCTATCCATTCACCTCTCCATGCACCCATCCACTCACCCACCCATCTTCTTATTTATCCATCCATTCAGCAAACATTCCCAAGGCTTGTGCTCTGTATTAAGCATTACGGACGCAGAGATGAATAGGCATCAGTGTGGGCAGCCAGCTTCTAACTCATCTTCACAACTATCAGCTCCCAACCCAAGACAGGCCCAGGAGAACGTTATCTCGTTTGGTTGATAAGAGAACTTTCAGAACATCCGTTAGGGCAGCTCAGAGACAAAGAAACCCAGCTGTTTGGGTATACTGAGGAAGCATCCCATGTAGAAAGCAGAGTCTTGGAAGGAAGACACAGTCTGGCTTTTTTTTTCAGAGAAATGCTGCATACATATACCTCTGTGGTTGGGATCAAAGATTTCTGACTACTGAGAGGGAAATGGGATTGCAAGCCAAGTGTGGGCCAGATTCCTGGGTTTCTCCCCTCCAGGTCTGTCTGTCTTTGACCGCCAAACGGCTTGCCAGTAAGAACTGCGTGGTCAAGAACCTGGAAGCAGTAGAGACCCTGGGCTCTACATCAGTTATCTGCTCTGACAAGACAGGGACCCTCACCCAGAACCGCATGACTGTGTCCCATCTGTGGTTTGACAACCACATCCACTCAGCGGACACCACAGAAGACCAGTCAGGTGTGGGAGGCTGAGGGGCAGGGTCTCTGTTCTTTATCTAGAAGAGAGCTCCAAGGTTATTCAAGGAAGTGGGTGGGGTGTTAATATTAAAGGGAGGGGATTTGATTCCAGATCTGGGGAGAATCAGGGTTCTGGGTCCAGGGAGGGGACTTAGGTCTCACAGTAGACTAGGTATGGGGTCTGGAAAGAAGGTTCCATCCCTGGTATGAAGAGGGGGTTGGATCTCAGGCCTCAGGATAGGATGCTGGCCTAGATCTAGGGGAAGGGGCTGGCTGGGTCCTGGTCTAGGAGAGCGGCTGCCTCGCGCGCGGGATCCCCTCCCGGATCCAGCCCCGATGTCTGGCCTCCAGGACAGACATTTGACCAGTCTTCGGAGACGTGGCGGGCTTTGTGCCGAGTGCTCACCCTGTGCAACCGAGCTGCCTTCAAGTCGGGGCAGGACGCGGTGCCGGTGCCCAAGGTGAGAACCGGGGAGCCCTTGGCCATCCCGCGAGCCTGGTGCAGCCGTGTTCGTCCCTAACACTGTTTCCCCGCTCCCAGCGCATCGTGATCGGGGACGCGTCCGAGACGGCGCTGCTCAAATTCTCAGAGCTGACGCTGGGCAACGCCATGGGCTACCGCGAGCGTTTCCCCAAAGTCTGCGAAATCCCCTTCAACTCCACCAACAAATTTCAGGTGCTCTGTCCTCCGCGATCGGCCCGGCCCCCTACCCAGTCCCGTCACTGCAGCGTCCCACCACGACCCGTTCCATCCAGACTTGCCTTTGCGGACCTTAGCCCTCATCCCCATCCCACCCACTGCCAAATGCCACCAGTGGCCAGGCCAGACCCACAGCCGAGGCTCTAATCAGCTCAGTCCTAAAACGCTTCTAAATGATCCCCTCTGCCGTTGCACTAATTCCCCGCCCCTCTCCTCCACACTTAGTAGCGTCCCACCCCCCCAGCCTACTTACTGCCCGGACCCCTCCCCGCCCACAGCTGTCCATCCACACTTTGGAAGACCCCCGGGACCCGCGGCACTTGCTGGTAATGAAGGGCGCCCCAGAGCGCGTGCTGGAGCGATGTAGCTCAATCCTTATTAAGGGTCAGGAGTTGCCGCTGGACGAACAGTGGCGTGAGGCCTTCCAGACGGCCTACCTCAGCCTGGGAGGCCTGGGCGAACGTGTGCTTGGTGAGAACCTCCAAAGCAGGGTAGGGGGAAAGTGGGGTACACGGAGCATACTCGACTTTCTTGGATCGTGGCTGACAGTTGACCTGGCCCTCCACACTCATCCTGGATTTTCCCTGTCTCAGTTCTGACTCCTGGCTCTTCTGAATTCCTACCCTGAGCCCGGGCCGCCGCCCCACTTCTCCTCACCCTGATTTTACCCATCCTGACCTGACGTGTGATCCTATGATTTTACCAGCCCATGCCTCAACTGATACCTTTCAGAACCCTCAGCTGACTCTTTGACCTTTCTCACCTTGACTTTCTTGCCCCTCACCGTCCTTGATTTTTGTTCTAACTCCTGCCTTGGTTAAGCTTAAACTTAAAAACTTGGGGTCCAGTTCTGGGTCCTTCACTTTACTTGCCATGTGACCTTAGCCTTAGGCACTGAGGATGGATTTAGATTATGAATGAAGGGTTTGGTATTTTGCTCATCTCCTGTCTCTGTCAGAGAAAAGTCTTTCCAGGATTTCTCTCTGACCTCCTGGTTTCCTGGCTAGGTTTCTGCCAGCTCTACCTGAATGAGAAGGAATACCCACCTGGTTATGCCTTTGATGCTGAGGCCATGAATTTTCCAAGTAGCAACCTCTGCTTTGCGGGCCTCGTATCCATGATAGATCCACCGCGAGCCACCGTTCCTGATGCCGTGCTCAAGTGCCGAACAGCAGGCATCCGGGTATGCCACTGGGAGAGGGTGATGGGGAAGATGGAGACTATAAGGGAGACAGAAACTGACTTGAACTAAAACAGGAAACATATTGGTTCATGAAACTGAAAAACTAGAGAATGAAGTCAGGCATAGCTGGGTTTAGGGACTCTTGTTATTTCATTAACAATTTGCCTTTCTTCATGTCTCAGCTTTTTCTCTCCGCAGGCTTTATTCTCAAGCTATATTTTCATTTTGGAGGGCAAAGATTATCCTCAGCACAACTTCAATTTACATCCTATCTTTTAGCCACCCCACAGAAAAAGGGTGCTTCTTTTGTAATAGCTCCAAATTGGGTCACATGTTCAACACTGAACCCATCACTATAGGTAGGGGGATGGAATATGTTGATTGGCCAGGTTTGGCCTCACTTGCCCAGTCTTGGCTAGGAACCTCACTTTGACCAGTTGCCTGGGGGAGGAGAAGTGGTTCCCCAAAGATACTAAGCAGTGCCCAAGTCTTTCCCATAGTCTCTAAGGGCCTTAAGGTGTTGGCCCTGTTACCTTTTTAAGCTCATTCCTTAGCCCTCTCTTCCTTTTGCCCACTCCTCTCTGAGCATGCCGCCATGCTATTCCTCTAACAATTCAGCCATGTTCTCAATTGTCTGTTCTCTCTGTCACAAAAACTCTTCCCCCAGATTTTCACATGGCCCTTACCTCTTTCTGGTCTTTGTTCAAGTGTCACTTTCTTGAACAAAGTGATGCCTTCCCTAAACCAAATCACACCAAACCCACTGCCAATGAGTCAATTCCAACTCATAGTGACCTTAAACTTGAGTCACCTCTTCCTTTAGTCAGCACATGCCACCATCCCTTTACCCAGCTTTACTCATTGTCTTCATACTTCTTATCTTCTAACACATTATCTGAGGACTTGGTTGTTCATTGGTAGATTTCTCACCTTCCATGTGGGAGACTCTGATTCACTTTCCAGCCAGTGGACCTCATATCCAGCCACCACCATCTGCCAGTGGGGACTTACATGTGGCAATAATGTTGAACAGGTTTTGGTGGAGTTTCCACCAGATGAATTAGGAAGGCCTGCCAACCTACTTCTGAAAATCATGAAAACTGTATGCTTACCAACAGTGCAATCTGCAACCGATCATGGGGGCAGTGCCAGATAACTGTGCATGAAGTCACCATGAGTCAGGAACAAACTATCCACAGTGATAACTATCACAGCACACCATGTATGCCTCTTCTTATTTATCAACATGGTCAAGTTCCAAGGACCATGTTCTTGTGTGAAAATTGGTGTTATGAGAAAATGGAGGATGACTACATCATAACTGACAAATTACATTATTACATAATCACCAAATTACATAACTACCTGTCAATTTACACCATTACATAATTGCCAAATTACATCATTATATAACTGCCGAATTACATCACTACATAACTGCCAAAATACATCACTACATAACTGGCAAATTACATCATTGCATAACTGCCAAACTATTGAAAATCATGATCTGACCAAGTTGACATGTAACCTTAGCTGTCACAGCCAGTGTTCCTCTCATCTCACACCTTAGGGGTTCGTATCTGCCAGAAGTATGTCGTTAATGAGCAAAATAGTTGAATAGTAGATTTTTTACTTTTGTCATAAATACAAAATTTATGTTGGATACTAGATAGTTGATATGTGAGGAGTAATTGTAATTATTTCTTTATGATGTTTCTTTTCTTTTCTTCTCAACTAGAATGTTAGCCTCACCAGGAATTCTGTCTGTTTTATTCCTGCTATATCCCTGACACTTACTTAGCAGGTGGTCTTGATTGGTAGAATAAATCTATCAGCAGATGTCTTCAAGTGAGGATGGGAAAATGGGGCTAATCGGAAGGGGTCAAGAGTCTCCTGGTATATAATCTACATATCAGCAGTTACCTAATTTGAGTGCATTTATAATACATTGAGGCATAAAACTCTCCCTAGTAATTCAGTGTTTAAGGAGCTCTGGTAGCGTAGTGGTTACGAATTGGGCTGCGAACCTCAGGGTCAGCAGTTCGAAACTACCAGCTGCTCCGCGGGAGAAAGATGAGGCGATCTGCTCCCATCAAGATTTACAGCCTCGGAAACCCTATTCAGGGTCGCTATGGGTCGAAACCGACTCAATGGCACTTAACAACAACAACAACAACAGTAATTCAGTGTTTAGGAGGGTAAATTGAAGAATTGAACTTGTTTGAATTGTATAGAGGAATATCAGCATTATGCCTTGACTCCAATGCATAATTTTTGCTGAGATGCTTAGCTCTGGAACATGTTTATGCTACCTTTGAAAATTTGATTGGTACTATCTAGTATGTTAAGGACCTCTGGTAGCGTAGCGAATTGGGCTGCGAGCCTCAGGGTCAGCAGTTCGAAACTACCAGCTTTCCACAGGAGAAAGATGAGGCTTTCTGCTCCTGTAAAGATTTACAGCCTCAGAAACCCTATACAGGGTCGCTATGAGTTGGAACTGACTCCATGGCACATACCAACAACAACAACATATAGTATGTTAACTGAAATGCATGCTCATTTTTACTTATTTAGGGATCCTTTAATGTTCAATAAAGCACTGCCTGTTTTGCATAACAACAACAAAGAGTCTCCTGGTTACCCCCATAGGTGATCATGGTGACAGGTGACCACCCCATCACAGCCAAGGCCATTGCAGCCAGCGTGGGCATCATCTCAGAAGGCAGTGAGACAGTAGAGGACATTGCTGCCCGCCTCCGAGTGCCTGTGGACCAGGTTAACAGGAAGTAAGTGCCTCTCACACCTCCCCACAGTTTCCCTAGAGTCCATGGAGACTGAGGCCCAAGCAAGGTCCTCCCGTCTCCCTCCCCAGGGATGCCCGTGCCTGTGTGATCAACGGCATGCAGCTGAAGGACATGGACCCATCAGAGCTGGTTGAGGCGCTGCGTACCCACCCGGAGATGGTGTTCGCCCGCACCAGCCCCCAGCAGAAGCTGGTGATAGTAGAGAGCTGCCAGCGGCTGGTGAGAACCTGGTGACGTGGGTGGGCAGAGGGATGCCCTGGGCTGGCCTCTCACTGACCACCTACCCTCCTGCAGGGTGCAATCGTGGCTGTGACAGGGGATGGTGTGAATGATTCCCCCGCCCTAAAGAAGGCAGACATTGGAGTGGCCATGGGCATCGCTGGCTCCGATGCTGCCAAAAACGCAGCCGACATGATCCTCTTGGATGACAACTTCGCCTCCATTGTGACGGGCGTGGAACAGGGTTCGGGCTGGCCAGGGAAGGGACCAGGCAGTGTGGGCAAGGGAGGAAGCGGCTGGCAAGAAAGTTGAGGTACCTGCTCTATCCCTACAGGCCGGCTGATCTTTGATAACCTGAAGAAGTCCATCGCTTACACACTGACCAAGAACATCCCAGAGCTGACACCCTACCTCATTTACATCACAGTCAGCGTTCCCCTACCCCTTGGGTGCATCACCATCCTCTTCATAGAACTCTGCACCGACATAGTGAGTCTACAGCCCACACACATGCTCATGGTCAGACATGATGGACAGACCGCCATGGACACTTAGACACAGGAACCACCCAGACAAGACATACAGATACACCAACAGACAGCCAGACCTGGACACACAGGTGGGCAGGCGGGTGGGTATGAAATAAACCCATGGACACATGGGGACTTTAGTGACACAGATCTTTGGCCAACTTTAGATCACAGACAGGTAGCCCTAAACAAACACAGACAAATTTGTTTGTCCTACCTTCAGGCAGACTCCAAAACAGATGGAAAGGCACCACAGATAAAGGGATGAATGCAGCCAGATGCACGGCCATGTTGACAGACATTATCCAACAATACTTATGTGACACCCCCTATGGACCTGGCATATGTCTTAACATGCTTAGTTTTGTCTTCAGCCACCCTAGGAGCTGGGTTCTATTATTACCAAACCCTTTGTACAAATGAGTAATTTGAAGAACAGACAGGTTGAGAGGTTTCCCCTAGGCCATACAGCCAATCAGCGGCTGACTTGGGAATTGATCCAGGCAGTTAAGAGCCCCAGAGCCTGCCCTGGGCTTGAAGGAAGTGGTGGTTCAATTTTAAGATCATTATGAATTGCACTGACTCAGTGACTATGGGTTGGGTGGGGTTTAGGGAAGGCCTCAGTGAGAAGGTAACATTTGAACAAAGGCCGGAAAGAGGAGAGGGAGTTAGCCATGTGGAAATCTGGGGGTAGAGTGTTTCTGGCAGAGCTACCACGCAATGCAAATGAAGGAGGACTGCTTCTTCGTAGTTGCAGTTAGACAAGGGGGTGGGCAGGGAAGAGGACACAGGACATAAAGAGAGGAAAGACAGAACTAGAGAGTGGCAAAGAGAGACACAGAGACAGTGACCAGAGCTAGGGACAAAGAAAGCCAGAGAGTAAGGGACATGAAGAGACAGAGATAGTAACAGGGAAACAGAGGCTGAGACCAGGGTACCCTAGAGGGAGACACACAGCGACAGAAAGAAGATAAAGACAAACAATTCTGAGGGAGATAGACACAAATGTGGAAGTAGACCCACCAACTGGGGCCAGCCCAGGCCCAGGCTGTCCAGGCCTCTGTGACTCTGTGGCCCTACCATGCCTCCTGGGGAGCTCCTGAGCCTAGGGAACATGAGTCCAGGCAAACCCTGAGTTCTCTTCCCACCCCTGACCAGTTCCCATCGGTGTCTCTGGCCTACGAGAAGGCTGAGAGTGACATCATGCACTTGCGGCCCCGGAACCCAAGGCGTGACCGACTAGTGAATGAACCCCTGGCTGCCTACTCCTATTTTCAGATTGGTGAGTGCTCATGGGCCAGAGAGAGGGGGCTCTCCAGCTCACTGGTCTGATGCCTCTGACTCACTCTGGAGCTTAGTGTCTGCTTTTGACTTCATTTGCCCAGTCCCCCCTGCTCTGTCTGTCCCCTGGGATCCCGTCTCTATGTTAATTGCCTCTTTCTCACTCCCTATTTTGTTTGGTTTCTCTGTGCCTGTCTCTCCATCCCAATGACTCTGGGACCTTGTCTATCTTCATGTGTCCCTGATCTTCTTTGTGTACCTATCTGTGTCCCGACTCTCTCCCTGTGTGCCTTTCCTGTGCCCCCTTGTTTCTCTTTCAGGTGCCATCCAGTCATTTGCTGGCTTCGCCGACTACTTCACAGCCATGGCCCAGGAGGGCTGGTTTCCACTGTTGTGTGTGGGGCTGCGGCCACAGTGGGAGAACCACCACCTACAAGACCTACAGGACAGCTACGGCCAGGAGTGGGTGAGTGCCCACACTCACTCCTCACATACGACTGCGCAGGTTCAAAGCTTCCTAGACAACCTGGGACTTACTGCCAACCCTCTGCTAGTTCTGGGACAAGGAGCCTTATCCCAAACTCTGGCTAGCAAAAACCACACTGCTATTCATTCTGACTCGTGGTGAACCAGTGTAGGGTCTCCTAGGCTGTAAATCTACATGGGAGCAAAAAGCCTCTTCTTTCTCACATGAAGCAGTTGTCGGGTTTGAACTCTTAAACTTGCGGTTAGTAGCCCAAAGTGTAACCTACTTCACCACTTGGGCTGCCGTCAATTCTGACTCATCATGTAACCCTATAGGACACGGTTGAGCTGCTAACTTCAAGCTCATCAGTTCGAAACTACTAGCCCTTCCTCAGGAGAACGATGAGGCTTTCTGCTCCAGTAAAGATTTACACTCTCAGAAACCCTATACAGGGCCGCTATGAGTCAGCACCAACTCAATGGCACACCACCATAGGTCAGGGAGCAGCCAGACTCATTGTTCTCCCATGGAGTGGTTGGTGGGTTTGAACTGCCGACCTTTTGATGAGCAACCAGATGCTCAACCCACTATGCCACTGGGTTCCTTACAGGCTGGGCCTTTATCTGAACCCTTTACTGTAGAGGTAAGAATGCAGACCTCGGAACCAGATGGCCCAGATTCATGATCTGGTACCACTCCTCACAAGTGTGACCAAGGACAGATTTCTTGTTTCTCTGTGTCTGTTTCCTCGCCTATAAAGTGGGAAGATGGGGTCCAGGTGTGGCACTGTAGGATAAGCACAGGACTGCTCACTGCTAGGTCGGTGGTTCAAACCCCTCAGCCGTTCCTTGGAAACCCTACACGGGTACTCTTGAGTTGGAACTGACTCGATGACACTTAACAACAAAGTGGGAAGAATACTAAAATGGCCTTCAGTGGTCTTCACTGGGTGGTCCTAGGGCCAGCAGCAATAGCATTACATGGGAACTTGTTTGAGATGTGAATTCTCAGGTGGGGCCTTGCAGTGTATTTTAACAAGTCCTTTAGGGGATTCTGATGCTTGCTGACGTCTGGGCGCCACTGACTCATCTCGAGGACTATGGGCTATTGGGGGGATTGAGTGGACAGATGCAGTGTCCCTGGTGTGGCACTGTAGGATAAGCACTCGACCCCAGCCACTTCTCGGAAACCCTATACAGGGTCACTATGAGACGGAACCTACTCTATGGCACTTAACAATAACGTGAAAATGAAGCCCACCCCGCAACTGAGATGGACTGAGTGTGGTAACAATGGACTCACACACAGGAAGTTGTGAGGATGGGGTAGGATCGGGCAGTGTTTCGTTTGGCTTCGCTAAGTCAGAACTGACTTGAGTACACCTAACAAAATCAGTTGTGTAGAGAAATGGACTGAGTGAGGACTGCCCCCTTTAAATGGATCCTATGCCCCCTTTCCCTAAAGTTCCACCTTACTAATTTTTATCACCCGTGTGACCCCTGGAATCACTGCCCTGCTCCTCAGTGCCAGGAAATTCTACACCCCTTCACCATCTTGGACCGCTAACTGCAAGGTCAGTTGTTCAAACCCATCAGCTGCTTGTCAGGAGCAAGATGAGGCTGTCAGCTCCTGTAGAGATTTACAGTCCCGGAGACCCTATAGGGGGTCACTATGGGTCAGAATTGACTTGATGACAGTGGATGGGCATTGCCCAGCAAGCTCTGCTGGACAGAGGTCTCCTGGTCCTCCACTCTGGGACTCTGCAAACCTGGCTGACCCGGCAGCTTTCTTCTCCCCACTCATCTCTGACACACGGGAAAGAGAACCTTTAGGGGCTTGCGAACCCGAGTGTCCCAGTGGCCACAGAGGGTCCCCAGCTGGGCTCAGGTTACTTTTGTTCCCTCCTGGTCCCCACAGACATTCGGGCAGCGTCTCTACCAGCAGTATACCTGCTACACCGTGTTTTTCATCAGCATTGAGATGTGCCAGATAGCTGACGTCCTCATCCGCAAGACGCGCCGCCTGTCTGCTTTCCAGCAGGGCTTCTTCAGGTGCCCCCACCCCATGTCCACCCGGCCCTGATCCCAGCCCACACAGACCCTGAACCACCACAAAACGCTTCCTTAGCACCTCTGCATGCCTCTCAGCCGGCCCCTCCAGAGCTCCTCAACTAGAGGGGGCCATGCTGGTAGAAAGGTGTGGGCCCCTCCAGAACGCAACTAGAGGGGTCATGCTAGTAGAGAGGTGTGGGCCCCTCCAGAATTCAACTAGAGGGGGCCATGCTGGTAGAGAGGCGTGGGCCCCTCTAGAACTTAATGTTGAGAACATCCCCCTGCCCCTGATGGCTGCCGACTCCTTTGGCCTGGAACCTTGGTTTCTGATGGCCTGTCCCATGCTGCCCGTAGGAACAAGATCCTGGTGACCGCCATCGTGTTCCAGGTCTGCATTGGCTGTTTCCTGTGCTACTGCCCCGGAATGCCCAACATCTTCAACTTCATGCCCATTCGGTAAGGGGTGGTGAGGCCTGGGTAGAGAAATGTGGGCTGTGGGACCCCGCCCTGGGGGCAGCCATCACCTGGCCACCTCCCTGTACCTACAGGTTCCAGTGGTGGCTCGTCCCCCTGCCCTTTGGCCTCCTCATCTTCGTCTATGATGAGCTGCGGAAACTTGGAGTTCGCTGTTGCCCAGGGAGTGAGTGTGGGGACTGGGAGGATGGGGTGAGGGGCTGGAATGTTCACAGAGCAGTTGCTTCAAACTTTGAACCTCGACATTTGACCTCTGAGCCTTTGACCTCCATATCAAACCTGACCTGAAATCTGAGTCCCAGGTGTCTACCTTGACCTCCTATACCTGCCCCCTGAGGTTCCCCAAACCCTGACCTGCATCTCTCAGCACTGAGTCTCCCTTCCCCCCTTCTCTCCTAGGCTGGTGGGACCAGGAGCTCTATTATTAGAGGGAGCAAGACCTTCATCTCTGCATCCATCACAGCTAAGCGGGGGTCATGGCTTCGGGAACCTGCATGGACAGCCACCCAAATATCTGAGCAATCAAGCATCTGCAGCCCGTGGCTCCCTAACTTTGGAGGGACCTCACCAACTCTCCGTTCCCATCCACAAGGGGCCCACCAGCCCTCTTAGAGAAGAACCCCTTAGGCCCAGCTCTCTTAGCTGGCCTCAGTGCAGCCCCACCTGTGATGGTGCTGGGGCTTTGGTGGAGAGCAGGAGCTAGTAGCTCCCGTGGGAAGAAATGTGTGTTCTTAGGACTCCAGGCTGGGCAAGAGGGCTGCCTGGGAGCTCTTTGCCGAAAACACATCTTGTGTTCTGCATGACACTAATAAAGCCAGCTCACACTGATGTGTCAAGCACACTTGATCTCCCGTAATTCTACAGGTAGGGGCTATTGGTTCAGGGCTGTAGAACTGTCTGCTGTACAGTAGAAACTCAATAAACACTTGCTAGGAAAGTGAATCTCTAAATTTTGATCATTTACGGCATTTAAAGGCAGAGTCAGGATGCCATGACAGGTGGCCTGGAGCTCAGATATCCACCACCTGAGCTTTCATTGTTCTCAGCACCTCTTTCTCCCTCCTTGACACATGAATGCCAGACACTTTCCACATCAGGTAACCCCTGTGCTCACCTTTCACAGGTGTCTCAGCTCTGATTCAACTTGCTCGCCCCTTTGTCCCTGCAGTGGATGGCTTGTCATTGGTCAGTCCTTGGAGGCTCAAGCCACAAGTCTTCCCCACCCCACCTGAAATGCTAACCTTCCCTCTGCTTTTCATTGACAAGCGACGGGGCAGTGGGAAAGTGACAGGAGTCACCTCTCCCTCCCCCCGCCCACTCTTCTCCCAGGGCTTCTCCTCCTCTTCACCTACCTTTTCCCCACCCATGGCCTCACCTCCATTGTCTCTGTACTGGTGATGCCCACAGCTGTTTCCAACCTCCCCCAACATGGCCAAGGGGACCCACACTGGCTCTGCATCGTCCCCCAAACCTGCTCCCTCCGCTGCCTCGGTCTCAGTACAGTCCTACCATCCCACTAGTGTGCTTCATTCATCCAGGTGGGGGACACATGGTGAGACCTCAGGTAACCTGTTCCCATGGATCCTTTACCTGTCACCTTCCCACTGCCCCGCCCACCGCTTGTCAGTGAAGTAAATGCACATTCCGTGGGTTACTACCACCTGTCTAAGCTGCCTCTATCCACTCTCTCCCTCGATCAGCTTTAGTCTACCCAGGCCTGGTCCACCATTTACATACTGACCCTGTCCTACAACTTTCCATGGTTCTCCAGTGGTCTGTCAACTCTCCACCCAGGCCCAGCCTTCAGAGCCATCTGGCCCCTGCTGACTCTGGCAGTCCTTCAAGTCCTCTTGAACCCTCTACTCCCCCATCCAGGCCTTAAGTTTCCCTGGAAAGGCAGGCCCATGCTGTCACCTTCAGGTTTTTACACAGGTCTCGGCATCAGCTTTTCTCCTCTTTGTCCCACTATTGTCCTGCAGGTCCAGCTCCCCGGGAGCCCACACTGCTCCCGAGGCTGGGTCAGGTACCTCCTTCCTCTGGGCCTCCTAACCCTGTTTCCTCATCATGGTCCAGATCACCATGGCCGAGACTTCCCTCTTCACCATCCCACCACAGCCTGATCACTCAGCCCCAATCAGACATCACCACTACCTGGAGAACGAGGGGTTCTGTTTCCCTGAGACCCATGAAAGCTGGGATCATTTTACAGTGGTCGCCAGAAGAGAGACAACATCCCTGCAGAGCTAACAATCATTTCTGCAAACTTTACTTGTTCTAATACATGTTCAGGGCAGATGGGGCAGGAATGGAGGTGTGGGGGAAAAGGTCCCATTACAAATCTATCAGGTGACCCACATGGGCTGGAGGAGTGTTCTAGCTATAGCCTTTCCATATGAAAGTCAAGACCACCCCATCAATCACTGCACCCCAAGAGAGTAGGGAGGACAAGGTGGTGGCTATCCCATCTTAGGGGAAAGGCTCCCTCTGAAAACAAGACCTTAGTGGTTCCTGAAGTCAAGGGTCAAATAATATGATGGCAGGACTCCACCAACCAACTGAAGGAAGGAGACAATTGCTCCTCTGGCCCCTGAGGATCTCCCCAGCAACACCAGGCCTGGGGAGCAGCAACCGAAGTGGGCAGGATTTGCTTCAAGGTACAACTTTAGACATGATGACATCCTGCTTGATACACCTCACAAGGAAGGAGAAGGAATGAGGCAGGGACAGGATCTATGGGACAAAGGCACAGCTGGGAGAGGGGAGATGGCATCTAGGCCATCTGTGGGGGGAGGCACAACTGCTCTGCTACTTGGCTATCTCTGTACCCTGCCCTAAGAGGACTCAGGTCAGGGTCTTGCTCTGAGGGCCACAGAACGGAGACAAAGCACTGGGGAGCTCAGAGTCCTTGACAGCTGTCCCACTCTCAGCTCCAGTGTCTTTTGACCTAAGCTTGAAAGATAGTAACCATTTGTCTAGGGGCAAGTTACGCCAGGAAGGAGCTCTAAAGAGGTCAAGGGCAAAACCGAGAGCAAGGAGGCTCGATTATCCACTGTGGAATAGTTATAAGGAAGGAGGTAACCTAGTTAAACTGGCCAGATAGATCTCAGCTGCCATAGAGAGATCAGATGGATCAAAGGCGACTAGGGTTGAGAGCCTATTAGATGACCAGCTGGGGCAGGGCCCATGTGGGAGAGGGCCAGGCTGGACCAAGATGAGGGTGTGACATGGAGAGGAGGTGCCCCCCAAGACCCCCACCTAGCCTCTGCTGCTGCTCAAAGATCACTTACTTCATTCAAGCCCTTAGTCTACCCTGGGAAAACAAGGACACTGAAGAATTGTTCCTGGAACAAAGGACAGATGAATGGATTAGCTAGCTCCTCTGGGACTAAGGGTGAACCTAGTGTTGGGAGATGATTCCAGAGCGAGAAACGGAGGCAGAACCAAAGTTGGAAATATGGTTTAATCCACTGAAACCTGGTGACAGGGAGCAGGTATTTGTGAGTGCTTGAACACCAAGCCTAGGAGTGCACATTGACGACAGCAACATACAGGGACAGGGTGCCGAGGGCCAGGAGTCCCGTCACCACCGCTCGGGCCAGCAATGCTGTCCAGCTGCCCAGGGAACAGAGGTGGACAAAGGTCCTGTGGGAAAAGATCACAATGAGGGAAGGAGAAGAAGTAACTCACCCCCGTGTCCAGGTGAACCCAGTCTCTAGCCCCAGCCAGCTCACTCCATGACAAAGGCCTTGTAGACACTGAGGAACATCAGCAGGAGAACAGCCGGACGGAAGGTGTGGTACAGGTCATAGCGTGTTATCATCCAGACCTGGGCGGACGCGATGATGTAATGGACCTGGAGGGAGGCGGGAAGTCAAGGCCAGGCCTTAGGCCACCAGCACGTGTGTGCATGAATGTGTGCAGGGGGCAGGAGGGCACAGGAACCACATACCAGACTGATGTTGGAGTCGATGCTCATCTGGATGTACTTCCAGTCAAACTCAATGCCTCGGGCTCCGACCCAAAGGGGGATGCAGCTAAGGAAGGCAGAGGGCAGACTTCTCCAGTACCCACACACTCTGGGCACCTACAGCCTGAGCCCTTGCCCTCCAGCACCCTCCTGGCACCCAGGAGTCTGGGCTGCAGGCAGCTGCACGCACCGGGACATAATGAGCTCTGCGGTGGCCCAGCCCAGGGCTGCCACCATGATCTTGTACTCCCCCTTGCCGGCATTCCTAGACATGACGAGATTCAAGCCTATCAGGTCGGCCACGTCCACGCTGGCCTTCATGAACTCCTGTGGGGCCAGGGGTTGGGTTGAGGCTTGGGTAAGCAGGGGATAACGGACCCCATTCCTGCACTCCCACATTCTCTCTTGCCCCTCTCACCCCTATGAAGTCATAGATGCCGCCTTCCCAAGTGGGGAAGAAAGTGGCCAGGAACAGCATCTGGGAACAGAAATCAGAAAGGTCACATCAAGGTGAGAGGAAGGAACCACCTGGATTTTGTGGGAGGTTAGTGTGTGACGGGGAGTTCCGGTGTGGCGCTGTGGGTTAATGCGCTAGATTGCAAAGTTAGTTTGAACTCCAAGGTCGGCAGTTCAAGCTCACAAGCTGCTCCTTGGAAACCCTATACAAGGTCTCTATGGGTAGAGACAGACTCAACGGCACTTAACAAGTGTGTGATAGAGGGGAAGGACACTGGGGCTCTGGAAGCAGCTGACAAGAGGCCACCAGGGCTGTGGGAGATGGTGGGCAGGCGCCTTGCTCCCCCAGAGGGCCGGATGTGTGCGTTCGGAGGGGAATTGGAACCAGGGCAGAGGCTCCACCATGTACTTGCTGTGCGGGGTTACTGAACCTTCTTAACTGTACAAAACTCGTCACCACGCGGCGGAAGTTTTCTCAGTTTTACCTAAAGGTCTATGCAAAAGCTGCTTCGAGACCCTTCCTCAAGTTTCACCCCGGTGTGCGGAGGGCTATCTCCAGATCCCGACAGCGCTCACCTTGCAAAGTTGCACAAAGAGGTAGGTGACCCCGGCCTGGACGCATTTCCAGAAGGCGTTGTACTCGGACCTGGAGGAGCAGGCGATGAGCGTCTGTCCCGCCCCGCGCCCTCTCCGTCCCGCACCCTCCTCGCGTCCCGCACTCACAGGCCGCTGCACTTATACGTGATGAAGTACGGGAAGTAGGCGAGGGCGAAACAGTTCCCGAAGTGGAACAGGGTCATGGTGCCGATCGCTGGGTCCCGCCCGCGCGGGCGTAGCGAGACCGCGTCTCTGAGCGCGGGTCCCGGCCGGTACCGATATCACTTGAGCCGGGGCCTGGGGCCCACCTGCCTCCGCCGCGGCCCGCGCGCGGCCTTCTGGGAGTCGTAGTCCCTCCCGACCCGGCGCGTCGGCGCACGGTGACGTCAAGTACGGCGGGGCGGGGCGGGGCGGGGCGCTGCTGCAGACCCTGGACGCTGAGGTTTCGGGATCGCCTAGTGGCCACGCTGGCTCTTAAATATCTTTGGGGCTGTTTCCTTTTCCCTGAAGCGGAAGCCTGGCTCTGAGTCGAGGCAACAACCTTACTCCAGGCTGCAGGCTGGTCGAGTTAAAAGGGGTACGGGGGCTTTGAACCTGGATCTGAACCTGATGTAACCGAGCGCAGAGGCACAGGAGACAGTTGCAAGCACTTTGGTTTTCTTTTTTATTTCATCAGCTGGCAGAGCGGCGCTGAGCCCTCACGTATGATACCCATCGTCCTGGGGGGAGTCAAGTGTGGGAATGGGAGACAGGTCCTAGTCCGTGAGGTCAAAGGGAAGCAGGGCGGGGTTGAGGGGCGGACTTGCCCTTCACTTCTCTTGGTTGTACATGTAACGCAGGAGGTCGACCACCCGGTGACTGTAGCCATATTCGTTGTCGTACCTGGGGATGGAGGAAGCGGAGGTCAGGGAAATCCCTATTTCCCCCCCCCCCGCCCCCCGAATTCTGTGATTCCTTCTGAGAGCCTTTACCAGGAAATGAGCTTCACGAAATTGTCGTTGAGAGCTATACCGGCCTTGGCATCGAAGATGGAGGAATGGGGGTCAGTGACGAAGTCCGAGGAGACCACCTGGGTGTCAGGATTTCAAAGACAAGTTCAACTAGCAGAGCAAGGATCACCAGGAGCCCAAGGCTTCTTAGCGCTAGATCCTATTCTTGACTGCCACGTTATGTGTTGTGTTGCTCTTGGACAAGACTTCACTTCTCTGAGCCTGTCTCATTTGCTGGGTGGGGATGGTGCGAAGAGATAATGAAATAAGTACTGTAAAGCACCCCACACGAGGTCCTGACTGAGGCAAATGCTTCTGCTTGCAGAGACTGGCCAAAGGACACGGACCGCACACACCCTAATGTGCCAATAACCACTACTTCCTGGCAACTGTGCAGACAGTTTGAACCGGGCTTCACAGAGGAGTGGGGATGAACCCGAGCCTAGATGAAGAAGGTTTTCTAGCCAATTCAGGTCCTAGACTCGGTGTCTGAGGTTGAAGGAACAAAAGCACAGGGGTTCTGGAGATTATAGCTGCAGTGTGGTGGAAGGTAGGCATTGGACTGCTAATCGAAAGAAAGAAAAACTAGGCAATCTGCTCCCATAAAGAATTGAAAGTTTTGGCAATCCTGTATAGGATTGCTATGAGTCAGAATTGACTCTATGGAAGTGGGATTTTTGGTGGTGAGTGGCCAGGAGAACATGGGTGATGCAAACAGTTAAGCACCTGACTATTAAAGGAACTCTGGTAGCGTAGTAGTTACGCATCGGGCTGCGAACCTTACAGTCGGCAGTTTGAAACTACCAGCTGCTCAACGGGAGAGAGAGGAGGCTTTCTGCTCCTGTAAAGATTTACAGCCTCGGAAACCCTGTACAGGGTTCACTATGGGTCGGAATTGACTCGAAGGCACTTAACAACAACAACAACTAAAGGAAAGGCACTGAGTAGTTAGCACCCAGGAAGTGCCTGAGAAGAATGGCCTGCAATGTGCTTCTGAAAGGCTGCAGGCATGAAAATACTATGTTGAAAACCCATGAAGTGTATAGTTCTACTTGAACACACATGGGGTCACCATGAATGGGAATTGACTTAATGAGCTTTTTGTGCGTGTGCGTGTGTGGGACAGTTTTCAGCAGGAGGGTGGTGTGACTGGACTGCATTAAAATACAGGATCCTGGCTGCTCTGAAAGTGGATTGCAGGAGCTGAAGCTGAAGACAGCACCACAGTGGACATGCAGAGATGGCAGTTCTGGAAGCAGAGTTAGTGCCAACCACTCCTCACAGGGATCTTGATCATGATCACTTGATCATGATCACTTGATCATGGCCTGGCTCTGAGCCATTGTTGCAGAAATGGAAGCTACTGTCTCATTCTCTAAGCATATGATGAGTACCAGCTGTGCGTCAGACCTGATGGGCTAGGGAGATGAAAAGATAGCCCTTAAATTCCTGCTTTTATGGAGAAGTGTTACACACGCCAGTGTGGCTAACAGTGACTGAAATGAAATGTCAGGTGAGAAAAGAACCACAGAAAGAAAACCTTTCTTGGTGGCTGGGGCTTGCTGAGAAGATGGGTTGTAATTCTTGAAAGAAACCAGAGTTGACTGGTCACCAGGGAGATCTTGGCTGACCAAAGGAGCATCAGGTAAGTGCAAAGGCCCTGAGGCAGAGAGATCGGCCCCTCCTCAGCCTTGCAGTTCTAATCTTCACACTCTGAGCTGCCCTCTGGCAAGTGGAAATCACACCCCTCCCACAGAGAGATCCTCCCAGGGCCCCTTCTTAGCTACTACCTCATCCTCGGTATAGGCAAGGATGCCAGCCATGGGCCCCTTGGCTGCCATTTTTATGGCCTCTGTGATATCCGAGTAGGTGGCAGGCTGGGCCAGGCGGCAGGTCAGGTCCACGACAGACACGTCCGGAGTGGGCACTCGGAATGCCATTCCCGTCAGCTTCCTGTAGACTCAGGACAGTGAAGAGAGTCAGAACCTGGGGATTTCTCTCTCTTTCCCCAGGCCCTTGCTTTCCCGCCAACAAACACCCCAAAGCATTTAGAGCTTTCTGCCCTCATACCCTTTGAGCTCTGGGATGACTTTGCCTACGGCCTTGGCTGCCCCTGTGGAGGCTGGGATAATGTTCTGGTGTGCCCCCCGTCCATCTCTCCAGGCCTTCTTCGATGGTCCATCGACGGTCTTCTGGGTGGCCGTGTAGGAATGGACTGTGGTCTTGGGGAAGGAGAGGTTTGCAGTGAGCCCTTTTTTCTGCTCCTGAGCTCCCATGCCTCTCTCTCAGGCCTGGGTCAGTGGCTCAGATGTGGTGATTAAGAGATCCATCACCATATACTATAGGAGGGGCCTTCACATGCCCGGGCTCAGCCTTGTCTGAGAACTGCAGAATGTTACACAAGCCTTCACCACCCTTGGACCTCTCCTCCCAAACCAGCCATTCCCTGTTAACTGTACACACTAAGCAAGTCCTGGTAAAGAAGAGGTTGGGTTTCCACCATCACTCCTGCCCCAATCCCCTTGCCCTTAACTTACCATCAGCCCTTCCACAATTCCAAATCTCTCATGGATGACCTTGGCCAGGGGGGCCAGGCAGTTGGTGGTACAGGATGCATTGCTGAAACGGCCCAAGTGTGCAAGGTCACTGAGAGATGAGACGCAGAGCCACACCTCCACCCTCACCCTTCTCCTGGGGTATGGTTTTGTGATAAAATTAGGTTAGGGATGGGGATGGGTCATTGGCTGGCAGAGTGAAGGTGGCACCAGAGGTGGATCTGGGGGAGCTCCCTCAAACATGTTCTTTAGAAGTCTTGTATTTGTAACACAGTTTGAGGGTAAACGTATATACATGGCTGATATTCTGACTTCAGGGAAGACAAAAAGTTTCATATGAAGGAAGCATGAGGAGCTGAGAGCAATGAGGCGGGGAGAGCCTGATGCCTCTTCACAGGCTCCTGTGTCCTGTGGGTACCACTACACACTTCCAAATGCCGCTCCATGTCCCCCCTCACCCTTCTCTGTTACCTGACGATTTTCATGGTGCTAGGCTTGTATTCCTTCTCATTCACACCCATGACGAACATGGGCGCATCTGGTGAGGGGGCACTGATGACCACACGTTGGGCACCTGCCATGATGTGGTCCTAGGAAGGGAACACAGATGTTTGGAGGTACTTCCAGTGCCCCTCTTCCTCCCCCACACCAGCCCAGGCACCTGTCTCTCTTACCGAAGCTGCCTCTATGGAGAGGTACACACCCGTGGACTCCACCACAAAGGGGCTCCCGACAGCCTTCCAGGGGATTTCTTTGGGCTGCTTGCTGAGGACAGTTGGCACAACAGTGAGCAGGTTCCCTCTCCTGTGAGGGCTTCCACAGACACCTTCCTGCCTGGCAACCTGTCTGCCCCCCACCCACGCGAGCTGACCCAGGTGGACTTGCCAGCTCTGCTGACCTTGCCTCTCACCGCTTTCCCCCTTGTGGACCCCTTTTCTGAACTCTGCTGCACCTGGTAAGGAGCTGCCATCTCCTATACCTCAACTTCTTCAGGGGACCATCCCTGACTACTCCCAGCCAGAGCAGACCCTGAGTAGAATGTGAACTATGTGAAGGCAAGGTGTACCCCACTGCTCCCCCTTCCTAGTCCCCAGCCCACCTAGCCCCTCTGCTCCTGTGGCCAGAGGCCAGGAAAGACACCTAGATGCCAGGGAGGACTGAAGTCTGAAGCAGCTTGGCGTCTAGCAGTAGCTAATGATTTTGATTAGATAAATAATGGTGGTTTACTGCTATGTGCTTTACACTTGTACATGCTTATTTGATGTTTTGACTGAGGGTTTTATTTGAAATGCATTAAACCTCTGGGATCACTATTTCCTATTAGTAAGCAATGAACGAATAAGCTGTAGACTAGGCTTCAACAGCATTGATTCCAGTTGCTGTAATTGCTTCTGTAAGATTATTTCTTAGCCTCTGTCTCACCTTCTAGAACATTCCATGGTAGCAGGGTCCAGTCTAATCTGTTTCCTTTGCCATTGAGCCTGCATCCCCAAACCCAGGGGTTCAGTCAGTGTTTTTTAAAAATTGTTATCAGCCAGTCCACAAATGCTGTGTGCGTGTGTGTGTGCTAAGTGTTTTGCCGGTGCCTCGTTTGAACCTCACAAGCCAAGGAGTAAGTGCTGTCACGACTCCCACTGTAGAGAGGAGGGAGTAGCGGGTAGAGCTGGCTAGAGCGCAGACAGGCTGGATGAGTGGCGTGGCCGTGATGAATGAATGAATCAGTGAGCAGTCAGTGCCATGCCTGGGTAGTATTTCTCTCTCCTTGGCCATCTATCCAGCTAGCTCTTTTCTGACACCCTGTCCCACCTTCCAAGATGGAGGACATAACACTAAAAGTATCTTTACAGATGTGTTGACCTCACATGAGGCAAAGAGTGGACCCCAAGAGACCCACCCCAGCCTCTATCGTCTGCCCATGGAGCTGTTCTGAGTATTCCATTCAGTTTGAGGACTCCATTCACAAGGATTTCTTGTGAACCACAAGGTTGGCAGTTCAAACCTACTAGCTGCTCCTCAGAAACACTATACAGGGTCACTATGAATCGGAACCAACTTGATGGCACTTAATAACAATAATATTCATTCATTTAGCAAGGAAGGAAGAGTACTGTAACAGCTTCAGTGATTATTTGTTCACATCTGTCTCAGCTGGGCCAGTGGGTACCAAGCAGCCGTGGCACGTGTACACAAACACAGCCTTGTCTGCAGGGAGGCTAGGGCTTGTGGGTAACATCTCCATCCAAGTGTTCCACACTCCTGTGAACTCTAGCTGTTCCCAACTAGTCGCTACACATCACCATTTCTACCTTACTTGATGAACCTGAGGCCAAAGTTACCCAGCAAGAAAGGGATAGTTGTTAAGTGCTGTTGAGTCGGTTCTGGTTCATAGGAACCCTGCTGTAAAGGTGGATCTGAACTGCAAAACTTGTGGTTAGCAATCTAGTGCTTATCCTACAGCACCACACCAGGACAAGTAAGGGATTGGTAAGTACTGTCAAATCAGTTCTGACTCATAACAGTCCTGTATAGGGTTTCTGAGGAGTGGCCGGTGGGTTTGAACTGCCAATTATTTGGTTCAAAGCCACCTTGTGGTTCAGTCCTGATTCTACAGTGCCAAGGAAAGGGTAGTGGTGGTGGTGATGTGCCGTGGAGTCAGTTCCAACTTACAACGACACTGTACAGAGTTTCCAAAGCTGTAAATCTTTATGGGAGCAGAAAGTCTCATATTTCGCCCAAGGAACTGCTGGTAGTTTCAAATAGTGACCCTGTATAAGGAGCTCTGGTAGCGTAGTGGTTACGAATCGGGCTGCGAACCTCAAGGTCAGCAGTTCGAAACTATCAGTGGTTCCGCGGGAGAAAGATGAGGTGTTCTGCTCCCATAAAGATTTACAGTCTCGGAAACCCTGTGTAGGGTCACCACGGTACTTAACAACAACAACATAGGGTTTCTGAAGGAGCTCTGGTAGCATAGCAGTTATGAATCAGTCTGTTAACCTCATGGTCAGCAGGTCGAAACTACCAGCTGTTTCACAGGAGAAAGATGAGGCTTTCTGCTCCTGTATTTACAGCCTCAGAAGGCCTATGCAGGGTCACTATGAGTCAGAACTGACTCCACAGCACACCACCACCACCACCATAGGGTTTCTGAGGCTGTAAATCTTTATGATAGCAGAAAGCCTCAGTTTTCTCCCACAGTTTTGAATTGCTGACCTTGAGATGATGCTTCACCACTATGCTACCAGAGCTCCTTAAGGAAGGGGTTTCCAAGGAGTGGCTGGTGAACTTGAATCGCTGATCTTACGATCTTGCGGTTCAAACTGGCTTTGCAGTCAGCACATTAACCAGCAGGGTAGAACAGGATAAAGTACACACACAGACAAGGGAATTGTGCTAATAGCCTGGGAGACAACAACGTGCGTGCGGTGACAGGGTAGTGGGGAGAGAAGGCAGTAATTGATTTGGGGGCAGAGCTGGGAGGGGCAGCAGGCCCCAGGTGGCAGGAGTGGTGGTGTGTGTGTGTGTGTGTGTGGGGGGAAACGATGGCCTGGTGAGTAGTCAGTGCTCTGCTGGAAGCTCAGGGCAAACAGCTGCTTCCATTCTCACGGACACTGTGTAGTTCCACCTCCCCTGCCCCTGCTTGCTGCCCCAGGTCCCTGGTGTGGTGCTGTGGGGTAATGCACTGGATTGCATAGTTTGCTTGAATCACAAGCTCACCAGCTGCTCCTTATAAACCCTATACAGGATCGATAGGGGTCAGAACCCACTTAACAACACCACCTCTCTCTCCTCTCTCTCCCCATCCTCCACTGGGAGGGAGGGACTGCAGCTCTTGCCTCGGGGGGCCAGGGAGGCATTAGACCCATGCAGGTATAGAAGTCCCAGTGATAGAGTCATCAACTGGAGCCCCCAGCAGTGGCTGATCATGTACATTAGCAAGGGGGGTAGGTTTGCTATTTCCTACTTGATAGTTTTTTTTTTTTTTTATGTTTTATTGTGCATTATGTGATAGTTTACATGGGAGAACATCAGTTTTACATTCATCCTATCGTATATCATTTCATTGCCATGGTTACAATACTTTGTAGCTTTTTAATTGTTCTGGTATCTTAAAAATGTGTTTGAAGCATATTAAACATCTAGTGTTCTTGAGTATAGTGGGGCATCTTTCTAGATTAGTGTTTCTTCACTGTTTTAGGGGTCAGGAATTTCTCTGAGACTCCCTCTCCAGGCCAGTACCTAGAGACATGCACACATAATTTGGGGGGTTCTGAACCCCATCGTGTTTTGGTCATCTTCACATCCTGTCTCAAAGTGCTACAGGTGTCATCAAATAGCTGCTACTCTTACCACTGGAAAACACTGATCTCTTGCCTATCTACGATCAGCCGTCCATTTTTGCATTCCACTTTCCCCTTATATCTGCCGTGGGTGGAGTCATACTTGAACATGTACACCTGCAGGAAACAGGAAGGAACGTTGTTTTGTGGTGACAGGGATAGAGAAGTGAGCATCCCTCCAGAGTTCCCACAGTAGTGAAGGTGTGGAGCGGTCCCAAGTTGCAGCTGGGAGCCTTCTTCTATAGACTTCCCCTAAAACACCCTTCTTCCTAAGACTTTCCCGCCCTGGTCCCACCCTTCCTGTCCACGCCCTGTTCTGCCGCTCACCATATATTCAGGGTCAATGAACGGATCATTCACCGCCACCACCTTAACACCCTTCTCCATGCAGGCACGCAGCACCAGGCGACCAATACGTCCAAATCTGTCCAGGGACAAAGATTGTAAGGTGGTCCTCAGAATCCTCATCCCAGCAGGCACAGGGAGGGATGAGAGAAGAGGGTGTGAAAGCGAGCAGGCCCACTCAAGGATTAGAGAGGGAGGCTTCAATCTGGGGAAAGGTGACCACCTCTGTGTGGGTTACTATCATCTCTTGCTCAGATGACCAGCCCAGCCTCATAACTGCTTTTCCTGCATCTTCTACCCATCCATCCCCCTAATTTCCCACCTTGAGCTGGGTGGCTCTTTTAAAATGGCAAGTCAGATGATGTCTCTTGGCTTGAAACCTCCTTGTCTGTTTGTCACGGAAACAATATCTAAAGTCTTGGGTTTACCACCTCCCTCCCTCCTATTCTTTGCTTATTCTTCTCTAGCCATGATGACCTAATGGCTGCCCTTCCACTTGCTTGGCTCCTCTGCCAGGAAGAGTCTCTCCCCAACAAAGCTGCATGGTTGGATGCCCTTTGTCAGTCAGCTGTCACATTCCAATGTCACCTTCTTCTAGAAGCTCTCTTCTGACCATAACAGCTAATGCTTCCCTCCCCGGTCCTACTGTAGCACTGAGCTCCATATTCAACACACACCATGGAACTGGCTGGTGCATTTGGCTATTGTTTTCATCAGAGTAAGAGCTCACTGAGGGTAGGATCAGCAGAATGAACGCACTCATGGTGAGAAGTGTGGAGAGGCCCCCAGTGTGTAAGGAGAGGAGAAGTAGGACCCTGAGGCATCAGGGATGGCTCAGGGGCCAGGGCAGAGACTCACCCATTGATGCCAACAGTCAGCTCCTCCATGGGAGAAATCGTAATTACTGGTGGTGGTGGTGGCGGCGGCGGCGGTGGTGGTGGTGTTGATGGCGGTGGTGGTTCTACAATCTCTATGACTGGTCTGGGCTTGGGTTCTGGCTGGGGCTCTGGCTGTGCTTCAACCTTGGGCTCAGGTGGGGGTGGTGGTCTGGTCACTGGAGAGGCAGAGGGAAATTGTGGATGGGGTGGGGGGTGGCAGGGTGGCAGAAACAATGAGCTGTACAATCATCGTGAAAGAGATTGAATTGCTACTCGGAACCTGCTCCTGGCCAACGGTCTAGCCTAGCATTTGTTAAGCCTGGGGTGGCACGCTAGGATAAGCCCTCGATCTCAAGGTAGGTTTGAACTGCAAGGTTGGCGGTTCAAACTCAACAGCTGCTCCTTGGAAACTGTATACTGGGTGTCTATGAGTTCGAACCGACTTGACCGCATTTAACAACCACCACCACCTGAGCCTTCCCTGAATGGGGAGTGGGATAGGCTTGTTTTAAAGTATCAATGCCCAGGGCTCTTCCTCGGGAGGTTCTAATTCAGTGGGCATGTACTTTGAACTAGTTCCCTGGGTTCCTCTGTTTCTTTCTCTATACAAATGGAAATAATGGTACATGTCTCAGAGGATAACTGGGAGGATTAGATGAAGTAATTAATATACATGGCAGGAGTCCTGGTGACTCAAAGGTTAAGTGCTGGAAGCTAGCTGAAGGACAGGAGAAAGTTCTGGTGGTCTGCTCCCATAAAGACAACAGCCTAGAAAACCCCATGGGGCAGTTCTGCTCTGTCACGTGGAGTTGTTATGAGTTGGAAGTGACACCTAACAACCACTATGCACGGTGTTTATGATAGAGGAGGAAACATTCCAAACATGTAGCTTGTGATCATTTCCCAAATGTATCTGATCATTGCCGATCTAGTCCAAATCTGCAAACCAAATTCACTGCCACCATCTAGTCAATTTCAACTCCTAGTAGAACTGTCCTCTAGGTTTTCCAAGGCTGTAAATATTTATGGAGACAGTCTGCCACATCTTCTGCAGAGCAGCTGGTGAGTTCAAACTGCTGACTTTTCATAGCTGGGCACTTTAACCACTGGGCCACCAGCTTTTCTCCTAATCTAGTCAATTGATCCAGCCAGTGTCTTGATAAGAATCACATGGGAAGTCTCTTTCTAGGAACATCTGACTCAGTAGGTCTGCACTGAGCCCAGTACTTGAAATGATTATGATCAGGGGTGTTTAAGAAGCATGGGAATATCATACTTTCAGTAACTAATGAAAAACTCAGTTCCAGCCTGTAAACACACACTCCCACATTTCACTTAATAAACACCTTTCGACCTGAGCTACAAGGAAGCGACAGTCAAGAAATAAAATGATGAACTGCATTAGGCAAATCTGCTGCACAAGACCTCTTTAAAGTGATGAAAAGCAAAGATGTCAGCTTGAGGACCAAAGTGCACCTGACCCAAGCCATAGTATTTTCAGTAACCTCATAAGCATGTGAAAGTTGGACAGTGAATAAGGAAGACCATAAAAGAATGGATGCATTTGAGTTATGGTGTTGGAGGAGAATATTAAAAGTACCATGGACTGCCAAAAGAACAAACCAATCTGTGTTGGAAGAAGTACAGCCAGAATGCTCTGTGGAAGCCAGGATGGCCAGACTTCGTCTCTTATACTTCGAACATGTTATCAGGAGGGACCAGACCCCGGAGAAGGATATCATGCTTGGTAAAGTGGAGGATCGAAGAAAAAGAGGAAGACCCCCAATGAGATGGATTGGCACAGTGGTAGCAACAATGGGCTGAAGTTTAGTATTGATTGTGAGGTTGGTTCAGGACCGGGAGGTGTTTTTTTCTGTTGTGCATAGGGTTGTTATGAGTCGGTACCGACTCTATGGCACCTAACAACAACAACAACAACAACAACCTGAGCTACAGATGAGGACTTGAAGAGAAGAGAGGAAACAGGGCTGCCTGAGACACCACAGTGAGGGGACCTGGACAGCTGAGGGTTCCAAGCTGAGTAATCAGACCTGGACACCAACCCTGATTCAGCCGTTTTATGTGGTATGGTCTTGCATAGTTAATGAAGGAAGCCCTCTGGTCTCTGGTTCCTGGGTGTCACAACTGACCCACCACCTGGAGGTTGCTGGGATGACTCAGTGAGACTTCAAGGCCCAGAAGCTGCATTCACTAGCCCAGGGGAGGCAGGCTGATACGAAGTGTTTATGAGGAAACGGTTGGAGAGAGGCTGAGATAAAGATGGAAGTTGCCTTTGACACCAGAATCAAAGGCTCCTGAGAAGGGGTTGAGTCCGCTGTTGAGATCTTGTGGTCTCAGGCTGGATTATGAGTGTTGCTAATCTGGTAGCATAGTGCTTACAAATCTGGTTATAAACCTCAGGGTCAGCAGTTCCAAACTACCAGGGAGAAAGGTGAGGCTTTCTGCTCCCATAAAGATTTACAGCTTCGGAAACCCAGTACCGGGTCTCTATGAGTTGGAGCCAACTCCACGGCACACAACAACAACAATAGGATTCTTAGTGTGACACTGGGTTAATGCACTGGGCTGCGAGGTCGGTTGGAACCGCAATGTTGGTGGTTCAAGCTCACCAGTCGCTCCTCTGAAACCCTGTGTTGTGCTGTTGTTAAGTTGGTTCCGACTCATAGTGACCCTGTACAGGGTTTCCGAGGCTGCAAATCTCTATGGGAGCAGAAAGCCTCATCTTTCTCCCACGGAACAGCTGGTAGTTTTGAACTGCCGACCTTGAGGTTAGCAGCCCGATTTGTAACCACTGCGCTACCAGAGCTCCTTCCGAAACGCTCTACAGGGTCACTCATAGTAGGTATCGACTGGACAGCCCTTGACAACAGTAGTACAAGTTCATAAAGATATTAGTGTTAATTTGTGACAGGTGACCCTGTGATTATTCGTGACCTTGAGGACGGAGATTTATCTACCTGGGTAAAGGGTGGGAATCTGAGTCAATTCAGTTATCTTTCAGAAAGAAATTCAGATGGTCTTTCACGCCTTACTTCCCCCAGCCGCAGCCCTCTCCTCCTCTGTTCTTTAGAGGTGCGATCAGGAGCTAAAGGAAGGTTGCTGGGAGCCAGCAGGGAGGAGCTTCAGTGGTGAAGGATCGTCACGTGAGAGGTGAACCAAGGATACTGGCCGCTATATCCTTATTACTACCATGCTCCACCAGGCGCTACACTGAGCTCTAACGTCCATCATTCATCTCACTGAATCCTGTGAGGCATGAGCCCTAACTCTACAGCAGGGGAAGCTGAGGTTCGAGGTCACAGAGAGAATGATGAGCAAGCCCAGTGGCCGTGAACCTTTCCGTTGTGGCGTGAAGACCCTGCAGCTAGTTCACAGCCCCACCCCATTATAGTCACACCTACTCCCCAACCCCTCTCCCGCCATAGGGAGGCTTTTCAGCAGGCGCGCCGCCCCTGGGAAGTGAGATAACTGCCAGGAACTGGAATTGCCATCTGGCTGGCTGGTGTGTGTGTGTGTGTGTGTGTGTGTGTGTGTGTGCGCGCGCGCGCTCCCCTCGCCCCCGTTCCCCCCAGTGGCAGGGAGAAGCAACGTGGGGCCAACTCTCCCACGCGCTTGCTAAGAGTCTAGAGTAAGTGACGTTTGCCTCTTCCCTCTGTCAGCCGCTCTGTAAAATGGGACGATAAACACACTGACCTCACCTGGTGGTTTGGAGACTTCATGAGCTCCCGCCCATGATTAATTCGCACGCCCTTAGCAGGCTGCACGTGCCCTTGATTTGCACATCAGGATGGTTAAAACCTACCAACACCCTTCCGCACAGGTCACCATGACCGTCACACAATGTTAGAGGGGCTAGCTCGCCAGCAGCCCCTCGGCACTCACCAGTTCTTCAAAAGCCTCTCGCAAGGCCCTGTCCTCACCACACTCCGCCTCCAGCCTCTATCCCAGCCCCTGCTTCTAACTTTCCTGTGGTTAAGGCCCACCTTGCCCTGGGGGTGGCGGGCCCCCATACCGACTACTGCAAACAGGGTGAGAAAGGAGTAAGGCGGTACTTGGACGTCCCGCCCTGCGCTTCCTCCCTTCTCTTTGGTGCGCAAGGTCTTGGAAGGAGGTACTCAGGACCAAGCACCCTGTATGAGGGAGGCGTGTCCCCCTCAACGTGCTTTCTTCAGTTCCCTGGGGTCACTCCGTTGCTTCCCTTACCTGGGCATGGCTGTCTTAGTAGCTGGACAACGGTGACATTGGTGAGGACGATGTCGCGCTTTGACATGGCCTCCTAAGGTCTCATGCCTACCTTCTCTTGGACCAACCCTGATGTTACTGAGATGCAGGGGTCCCCGTGGGTCCAGAGCGTCTTGCGGTGACGTCACAGATGCTCAGTGACGTCACAGACGCTGCTGTGCATAGGCTGGAGACCTAGGGGACCGTGGTCTCACTAGGGATAGTGTCACCAACCCTCCCCCCAACCCCAGACGCCCTCCTTGTACAGAATCCTTAAGAATCCTTACTATTTAATCATATAACAATGTGATAAATTTAGTTGTAAATTGTTTAAATATAGTCTTCTTAAATTATCTGGGTATTGTGGATCAGCACTGGACCGTGAACCACAAGATCTGCAGCTCAAAACCACCAGCTGCTCCTCGGAAACCCGATCCAGCGTCGCTATCAGAACCGACTCGCAAGGCCCTTAACAACAACCAAACATCCCAACAACGTAGTTTTGTAAAATGTTTCTACACTGAATTACAACCATTGAATCATTAGTTACAACATGATTAGTAACTGAGAGGAATCCTTTTTTCTCTTTTTCTCCGTTTCCTTTAGTTACTATCTCATTCTTAAAAAAAGTTGATGTTGTTGTTGTTAAGTGCCGTCGAGTCGGTTCTGACCCATAGCGACCCTGTATAGGGTTTTCTAGGAGCAACTGGTGGGCTTGAACCGCCAACCTCGTAATTCAAACAGCTTTGCAGTCTGGTGCATTAACTCACAGTGCCATACCAAGACTCCAAAAAAAAGTTGATATAGGTTCACAAATACCGATTACCACAATATTGTAGTTAAAATACCAGAAAACTTGGCAAAATCATCAGCAACGAAAAACAACAGTGTTCGCTTGTAGCACTCAGACGAAACCACCAGATGTAACTGTGATTTAAGGCATCATGGTAATTGGATAATAATGGCAACTTTGATGTGAGACTATTAGACTTTTAAAAAGTGAATTAGCATACAGTTGTAGCTTTGTAGGTATACTGGTACATTTAAGGAGAGCTTACAAAAAGGTTTTTGTAATAAATCACTACAGGAATGTTTTTATTTTAAAAATAAGAAATTCCTGCTGAAACACTGCAAAAAATAAAATTGTATGGATCATCAGAATCACCCTTTTGACAGTGTCACTTGGTGTGGTTCCCAGCTCATGTCCCTCAACCATGCCACTGGCAGGGCACTAATGCCTACTCTGTCCCCATTTAGGAATGTGATGTCAAATGCTGGGCACCACCCTTCCAAGGCCAACCACTTGTGACTGGAGCCTAGTTCTCAAAGCCCCTTGTTCTCTCTTCCTCTTGGCACACTAACTAGACCCATGCTGTTCCTTGACTCTACCTGTGGATATTTGCTTAGCTGTTTCCTTAAGGTCTAGAACAGTCTTCCCAGTATTCCTTTAGCTGCTCTTGGTTTCCCTCAGATATCTTCTTTCATTTCTGTCACTATCTGCTGCTCAATCTCCACCATTTTTCTGGAGACTTTCTCTGGCTTCCCCATTCTGGTTTGGACTGGGAACCACTCTTGTGTTCCAATGTGCAAAACTACTACTCTAGGGTTTTAATTTTTCTCATACACACGTCTCTCTCTAAAAGTCATCTTGTTTATTCATTTGTTTGCTTGCCTCTGTCCACTACACTGTAAGCTCTATGAGGGCAGGGACCTTGTCTGTGTTGGTCACTTTGGGATCTCATTGACTAGAAGGTGCCCACTCAATAAATAACATCAGAAAGAATAAGTCTCCAGGTTTCTCCTGATCTCCAGTCTTAAAGGAACACCCAAGGCATATCCTCTTACAACACCCTATTCTTTTCTTTGTAGCATGTATAGTTTGCTATGATCTAGTTACTGTTTTACATGTTCAATGTCTCCCACATGAGTCTGTAAGCCCCCCACAGGGCATGTATTCTTGCCTATTTTGTTCATTACTGTGCCTCCAGCACCTAGAACAGCGCCTGGTACAAAGCAGGCTCTCAATAAACATTTGCTATTGCCTGCCATTGAGTAGACTCCAACTCCTAGTGACCCCATATGACACACGCCCATAGGATTTCCAAGGCTGCCATCTTTATGTCATGGAGTCTTACTCCTGTGGAGTGGCCGGTAGATTCAAACTACTCATCTTTCAGTTAACAGCTGAGCGCTTCACCATTCTGACAGCTGGGTTCCTCAAAAAGCTTGGACATATGGCTCCCCTCTCCCAAAGCACTGAGGGTGGGGGCTTGCCTTGCACATCTGTGACTCACAGCCACGCATCTTCACCTGCAGGACTGGTTGACACGCAGCTCTGACCAAGGTTTAGAGCTTGAGGGTTTGGGGCAGGAAGAAGCATCATCTTAGAGCAAGAAGAGGAAGCAAGAAAGGGCAAAATGATGTAAGCTTTCCCATAACCTTGTTCTTCCCAAACCTCCATGGGAGGTTAGTTTGCCAAGCACCTGCCATGCGACCGGGGGAGGGGGAAGCTCTTCTGCTTGGATGACCTAGGAGAGGTGGAATTGAAAATACGTTAGATATAAAGATGAAGAGATTTAAATGAACCACGACCCAAAATTTGATGACTTGTTTAAAAGAAAAACAGAGGAAGGGATGGACTTTAACATCAAGGGAAAAACAACACAGCACAAACAACACTAGGATGGAAAAGGGACTGACTCTGTCAACTTTGCAATCACTGATTTGAAAATTTAGATAATATTTTTCTTATAAAACATAAAAGATCAAAACTGGTATAAGAATCGCAAACCTGTCTTGATCCATAACAAGAGGGAAAAAAACAAAACAGTGACAGCCAGTCTTCCTAAAGGTTTCAGGTCTAGATGGTTTTATAGGCAAGATATACCTAGCCAGTGGGGAACAGCAATTTGTCATCCTTTACTACTGTTACACATCATACATAACCAATGCTAGGAAGCCCAGGGGCAGCTACTTTGTGGAGAGGCTCTTCTGATCAGTAAGCACACTGTACTTACATCCAGTCCTTCTCTGGCTTACTTTGGGGAGAGACTGTGATGGCTGTGAAACTTCCTTAACTCACACTAGGAGACCAACACGACCACGTTACCCTAAACCAGCAGAGGATAATAATAAGAAAGGATAGCAACAAGAAAGGCACTTCAAGCCAATCTCAGGAAGACAGATGCCAAAGTACTGAATCAATTAGTAGCAAATAGAAATGCGAAGGCTGAGGAAGAGGGCTTGAAACTGACCCAAGATGGAAGGATGAGGCAGAGAGAGAGATGGCAAAGAAAAGATGGAGGGCATTTCATAAGGAGAAATCCCACCTTTCAGTCTCGGGGTGGGTTAGGATTCTGAAGCTCACACCCATACTTCCCCACCCAATAATCACCTGGCATGGGAAACACCCTCATCTAGGTACTGGACATGGATAGAAAAGCCACACCTGAGGTTGTCTAGGGATTTGCCTTGGTTCTGGAGCCTGAAACTAGGAAACAGATTTGATGAGCTCACGTTTGCAGAGATGGTGACAATTACTCACCCTCTGTGGTCAGAACTAGGGAAGGCCTAGTGCCTGGGTCTCTGGGCCTGGGATGCCTGGTTTTGGGTGAAGCTGAATGTTCAGGTTCTGGGGTGGAATCCTGGGTCCTCTGAGGGGAGTGGGCCTTGTTGTCCTTGTTTTCAGAGGTTGAAAACATATGCAGAGTCTCACCACGCCTGGACAACCACACACATAACTTTGCCACCCCCACTTGTTAACACCCTGTGCATTCCTATCTGCCTGGCCTTCCCACCAGCAAACCCACCCCACCCCCTCTCTCAATCTCTCCCCTTGGCACCGGAACCCGCATATCTTTCACCTCTGCACCAATGGAACCCAACCCACAGACTCTTGTTCTGGTCTCAGCCTCCCTCCAAAGTAGCTCCCCAATAAATACTAGGCTGTAGACCTACCTACCAACTACCATTTGTCCTGCCTTCTAGGACAATTCCTGCTCTTACTTCTTTCCCCTTTCAAACTGTGCCAAGATGACAACACTTAGGGTTCAGGTTGGAGCTCCCTAAGATGCTAAGAGACAGGAAGGCAGGAAGGATGAGCTCTTGGCTCCTAGCCCAGGCTCTAGCTCTGACAGTTGACTGCTGTCCTGGGTCTTCAGCCCCTCCCCTTGGCTGCCTCAACCGGCTTTTCAGGAGACACTGCGTCCTGTCCCAGCTCATGACAATCAGTCCCCTGCCCTTGCCCAAGGGCTGGGAGGCAGAAGTCCTGGGTTCTGTGAAGAGAATAAGATCCTTGCTCTAAAATTCACAACCCTCTCTAAAGGACCCTATGTTGTTTTGGGGACCTAGGCACCCTTCCCTCCAGCTTCCTATGAGACTAAATCTTGGGCTTGTCTTCTCTTCCCTCAGTTTTTTTAATCCACCCATTTATTCAGTCTATAAATTTTTACCGAACCCCAGGCAATGTCCTAGAATCTGGGGATGCTTTAGTGATTAACAGAGACTAGGGCCCTGTCCTCAGGAAGTTTACAATTGGGTAGGTGAGATGGATATAAAATATGAAGGTAATTTGAGGTGGTGATAAGTACAATGACAACAAAAAGATGATATTACAGAGTATAACTGAGGGATGAGTAGTTGTTGTTGTTGTTGTTGTTAGGTGTCATCGAGTTGGTACTGACACATAACAACCCTATGCACAACAGAACAAAACACTGCCCAGTGTTGTTGGGCCAGCCTCACAATTGTTGCCACGCTTGAGCACATTGATGCTGCCATTTTGCTAATCCATCTCTCTGGGGGTCTTCCTCTTTTTCTCTGACTCTCCACCTTACCGAACATGATATCCTTCTCCAGCGACTGGTCCCTCCTGATGATATGTCAGAAGTATGAGAGATAAAGTCTGGCCATCCTGGCCTCCAAGGAGCACTCTGGCTACACTTCTTCCAACACACATCTCTTGGTACTTTTGGAAGTCTATGGTACTTATGATATTCTTCTCCAACACCATAACTCAAATGCATCAATTCTTCTATGGTCTTCCTTATT